TTTATTAATCCTATGTTTAATTTCAGTGGCATCCTGTAAGACCTATTATAGCATCCATATCCAGTGGTCTGGTATCTATATGGGCTCAGAATCAAGTGGTAAATATAGAATATATATATATATATAGACATGTTAAACAATGGATTGTGCTTTTTCGTTTTTTAATGCCTCACTTGCAATAGGAGTAGAGGGACACATGCTTTTCTATCTGTGCGTCTGTCTGTTTATTCATCCATCCTGTTTCAGGTTAAAGTTTTGGTTTAAAGTAGTTTTTAGTCATATCAACTGGAAATTTTGTACGCATGTTCATAATGAAATGAACTGTTTGAGATATAGATGCCAAATAAGGGTTTTGACCCATATTTCATGGTTCACTGAATATGGAGAATTAGGTAGGTTAAAAATTTGGTTTAAGTATTCCAATTAAGTGAACTGTTTAATGTTTATGCCAAATTAAGATTTTTAACAAATACTTTTATAGTTTCTGAGATGTTACTAAACATAGAACATTCAAAAGATGTAGGTAGGTTCAGAATATTTTTTAAAAATGTAATTAATTTTATATATGATCCCCTTAATGCCATAGGTTTAACATATATGTTGAATAAAAATATAAAAATACTAATCTTGTGGACACTAATAGTATATAAGTCTTTACCAGAGAAAGAAATGTGATTGGTTTTGATTATGAGATTCTCAAGTTCTCAAGATTATGAGATTCTTACAGATCCAGGCTTCTATGTCATTGAAAAAATCTCAAATTAATATTAACTATTTTTATGCCCCTCGCCATAGTTGATAGGGGCATTTAGTGTTATCCTTGACCTTCTGTCTTTCTGTCCTTCCTTCTGTCCGTCCGTCCCATTTTCGGTTGTTTGAAGCTTGAGAGGGGGCATTCCTGTCCTCATACACTTTCTTCTTTTATTTTTTTAGTTTTTGGGGAATTGTAAAGAGTTAATACAATATTTTTGGTGAAATATAATGCCATATAAAAGTGTCCTCTCTGACGATATGTTATAAAATTGAACCTGTTGATTAGCCGATTTACCACTTGGAGGAGTTTTCAAATCTGTTACCAAAGTTTTATGAATGACAGAAGATTTGAAACAAAAGATAATTAATTTTAGAATTCTTTCAAATTACAGGTAGGCTTTTTTTTATATGTTTTGTAGGAAAACTGGAGTGCATTTGCACCAGATTTTAAAGAATTAGATGAGAATGTAGAGTATGAAGAAAGAGAATCGGAATTTGATATTGAAGATGAAGACAAAGAAAAAGAAGAAACAAAAGGTAGTGTCTGGTAGAAATAAAAAAACTTTCAGTCTAATAACATACATGTAACACTCCCAAACGTGTCCTTCCCCCCAAACGTGTCCGATTCCCCCAAACGTGTCCGTAATATTCAATGTTGCCCAAACGTGTCCGATTTCATAACCCCCAAACGTGTCCGACAATTGTTATTCGCCAAAACGTGTCTATTGTTGAACACCAGAACGTCTCACGTCTTTTAGGGCTAATAAATGTATGTCCTAAATGACATCAATAACGTTTACGGCAATTCTATGATGGGGGACACAGTTGATGAAGTGGTCATTTATTATCATTAGATTGTTCAATGCCGGTTGTTAATGATGATCATAATTTCAAATTTGATCTGTAACATATGAATTTACTTTTGACTGAAATTGTTTATTGTTAAGTAATAAGTATTTCATGCTCATTTAGAGCAAACATACACATAGTTTTAGTACAGTTCAATTCATCGTTTACTAAGTGAATTATTCTGTACTAATAAACTTTCCTTTTATATTAATCCGAATATTGCACGTTAGGCTTTCAGCAGAATTGACTTCCCTTTTTACAAAAGTTCTTGTATTTTAAAAGCTCTTCATAGATCATAAACTGGTTATCAGATTTTTTAATAAATTTTAGGTTTCGAGCATTACTAAAGACACACGCACAAGAGACATAATGTCCAGTGCCAAATATTTCATGCATTATTTGAACGACATCATGTTAACAATAAATACTGTAGATAGGTTTTATTATCATACCGGGAATTTAGGATTAGGCCTAAATTTTTACGGTTATTCGGGATTAACACTAGTTGGGATTTTATTCTAAAAAATTTATTTCTATTTTTTAATGAAATAGTCAAATGAGTATACTTTAATGAAAAAGCAATAACCAAATAACCTACGTATTTATAATATGGACACGAATGATAGTTCCAGTAAACGAAAAAAAATGGAGGTTGATATAGACATGTTTGGGGGTTTGTGCACGTTTTGGTGTTTATTAAAAAATGGACACGTTTGGGCGTTTTTACAAATGACACGCTTTAGCGCCCTTTTACATTAAGGCTTGTTTTGCTGTTCAGTGACATCATATGGACACGTTTGGGGGGAAGGACACGTTTCTGAGTGTTACATACATACGAAGGTATTTTGATAAGAGTAGAGAGAAGTCAATCTAAAGGAGAGTTTGAGGGATTTTGTCATTTTCCCATGATATTTTCTTGCAGTATATTTTTTAGGGAGATTAAGCTGATATTAAATAACTATGTGTGTGTCTGCTTTGCAGTACCAAACCAACATTTTTATATATAAATAAGAAGATTTGGTATGAGTGCCAATGAGACAACTATCCATCCAAGTTACAATGTGTAAAAAGTAAACAATTATAGGTCAAAGTACGGCCATAAACACGGAGCCTTGGCTCACACCGAACAGCAAGCTATGAAGAACCCCAAAAAGATTAGTGTAAAACAATTCAAATAGGAAAACCAACGGTCTAATCTATATAAAAAACGAGAAATGAGAAACACTTATGAACCACACCAACAAACGACAACTACTGAACATCAGATTCCTGTCCAGTTGAACTTGACTTAGGACAAATGCATAAAAATGCTCGTTTACATTATACCGTTGTCTGTCTGTCTGTCTGTCTGTCCGTCATCAACATGTTCGGACAATAACTCAAAAACACTTTAATCAATTTTTATGGAGTGTTGGTGAATTGTTTATATCTATTGATGTAAGCTCCCTTTCAATTTTTATAAATTTTTAGATTTTACCTTCCAAGTTATGGGATTTTATTCATAAAAAAAGAGGGATTTTTCAGTTTTCTGGCAATAACTCAAAAATGCTTTGACCAGATTTCATGAAACTTTGGTGACTGTTTTATATCTATTAAAATAAGCTCCCTTTAGTTTTTTATAAATTTGTGAGATGACATTAAGGAGTAATGGAACTTTATTCAATTGAAAAAGAGACAGGCGTATCATGCGCTCATGGAGCAGCCCTTTATTTGAGATCCCAACCCTATTTTATTTCATTTAGGTAATAAGATGAGAAAATTTTATTTTGATAATGAGAGTTCCTATTGCCAGTCTTGTCCATTTCCATTCTCTGATTAATAATTCTTAACAAAATGAAAACAACACATTATAAGTTTTTTTTTTCTGGATTTACCTTCATCAGGAAAGCTTTAAGCCAAATATTTGAAAGCCAAGGATATATAAGAACTGAAAAAGTTGAAGAGCTATACAAAAAAGGAGCTTAAATGATAGTCGAATCCATCTAAAGTAAATTTTCCCTGAGTAAGATATGAATGCATACAATAGGAATCCAAATTCCTATCTCATAGAAATGAATAATTTAATGTCAGCAATGAGAAATCAACATTTGATTGCAACAAACTTCATTGACTTTATGCAAGGATCTAGAAATTTATTTGATGTAATTTTAAAATCAGAAAATTTGTATTTTAGGAACGTATGATGAAGATATAGAGGTTGATTTAACAGCTATAGATAATAATCATATATAAAATGTGTATTTTAGGACCGTATGATGAAGATATAGAAGTTGATGTAACAGCTATAGAACCTATACAAGCATTTGTCAGCAGGTATGAATAACATTGTGTTTATTATGTTTACATCTGTTAACAACTCATTTTCTGCCACAAATAAAACTAAAGAAACAGGTCATTCTCTGTCCCTCTCCTTCTGCCAAAAAAAACCAAAAAACTAAATTACGACAACCTTCCAGTTATTAATATTTCATTTATATAAAAAGTATAGGGTCTTCGACTCATAGTAAAACAATTTTGTCAGATTTGTTTTTCCTTCAAAGTCTTGAAAAGAATGTATATTGAAATTGATCTAATTTGAACATCTGAGTATTTAGTGAACCTGTTTTCAATCTAATGTCCAACCACGAGGAAGGGACTTCGTTAACAGAACAAAAACCTTCAGGTCGATAAATGAGAAGTGGTACATTTGTGTTTTTTTACTTAATAAAAAAAAAAAGATAATAAAAGTGTGTAAAGCTTTGTCTAAATTTTTGTACTGGTAATAATATTGTCATTTTAGACTTGAATTTCCCTGAATTATTATAATTGTGTGTTGACTTTATTACAGTGATGAAGAAGATGAAGATGATGATGCCTTGTTATATTTACAAGTAACACCAGAAATAGATGAACCAGAGGAAGGTTGGCCATCTACCACAGATACTAATGTATGTGTTCACATTAATTACGACCCATATTGAAGATACAGAAGTCATATCTTTTTCACCTCTCCTTCAATATTGCTTTATTTTGTGATCATAAATTGGGGTCCCTTTGAATGCAAACAACAGTTTTATTTAAAATATTAGACAAGCTAAATCACTGATTGGGATATAGTGATCGTGAGACTACACCAGATAAAACACAAAGCTGTTATAGCTAGGAAAAAACAATTGATGTTTGTAAAATATATACCAGTCTAAAGAATGAAAAAGGGTGTCTTGGTAGCTGAGTGCTCTAAGTATTTCATATACAGTGATCACTAGCCTTTCAACTCTGAGGCTGTGAGTTTGAACCCCACTCATGGTAAGGTGTGCTAATAGTCGGTTGTACTTTCAAGGTACTCCAGTTTCCTCCACCAATAAAACTGTTGCCATGATCTAGCCATGGTAGCTGAAGTGGGGTTCAAACACCAACAGACGAATATAGAACTAAAGTTCAAACGCCAACAGACAAACGTAAAACTAAAGTTCAAACGCCAACAGACAAACCTAAAACTAAAGTTCAAACGTCAACAGACAAACATAAAGCTAAAGTTCAAACACCAACAGTCAAACATAAAGCTGAAGTTCAAATGCCAACAGACAAACATAAAGCTAAAGTTCAAACGCCAACAGACAAACATAAAGCTAAAGTTCAAACACCAACAGACAAACGTAAAACTAAAGTTCAAACGCCAACAGACAAACCTAAAACTAAAGTTCAAACGTCAACAGACAAACATAAAGCTAAAGTTCAAACACCAACAGTCAAACATAAAGCTAAAGTTCAAACGCCAACAGTCAAACATAAAGCTGAAGTTCAAACACCAACAGACAAACGTAAAACTAAAGTTCAAACGCCAACAGACAAACATAAAGCTAAAGTTCAAACGCCAACAGACAAACATAAAGCTTAAGTTCAAACACCAACAGACAAACATAAAGCTAAAGTTCAAACGCCAACAGACAAACATAAAGCTAAAGTTCAAACGCCAACAGACAAACATAAAGCTATAGTTCAAACGCCAACAGACGAACATAAAGTTAAAGTTCAAACGCCAACAGACAAACATGAAGCTAAAGTTCAAACGCCAACAGACAAACATAAAGCTAAAGTTCAAATGCCAACAGACAAACATAAAGCTAAAGTTCAACAGACAAACATGAAGCTAAAGTTCAAATGCCAACAGACAAACATAAAGGTAAAGGCTGTAAATGTATCTAAAGTTCTATGAAGCAAGTCAGGTCATTTGTCACTATTAATCGTATTTGTTACATGTTAGATATTTTTGTTGTGAATATCGTTTGTTATATACTGGGTAGATCCTTTTAATGCTAATTCAGTTTTTATTTGATTTCCAACAGGCACCTGAAGATCAAGGTCAGAATGAGAAAAAAAGAGGTCAAAGTCATTCAAGTAATGCTCCATCACCTAAGAAAAAAAGAACAAAAAGTCAAGAGATATCAATCAACCTACCTAATGCTCCATCAGAAGGTAGGTTTTACACTAATGAGGAGGGTCATAGGTCATATCTATTAGCCAAAATTATTTGATGGTTGTAGTTTAAAGTAAAAAGATGATTTGATGATTTGTATCATATATAAAAAAGAACTATATAAATGAACTTGAGCACAATTATATTTAATTTAGCATAGCATAACACAAATTTGTGAGGGAATTGAACAATTGCTCTACCATAGATCATTAGACAGACTATCATAATACTATTGTACTCATGACAGGTTCAATAAACTATTTTTCAATGATATTATACAAACTTTGTTGACAAAATATGCCTTAAAAATGCTATTTTACTGTATGAATGTATTACTTCGTTGACTTTTGAAGCCTAAACTTCTGTTGCTTTAATTTTGGTAAATTTTTTCAAGAAAAACATGTAATATTAAAAAATATAAATGTTAAATTGAATAAAATAAAAATTTAGGTGTTGAAGCATTTTCTTGAAATATAGCATTTGTCAGTTGATAGGCAAGGATGATAATCTGCTATCATTTTGTAATTGTATCTCCTGCGACAAAAGTCGCGGAAAGCGAGACAAAGGTGTTGCTTTTTCGGGGCTGCGGCAATGGTGGAGGATGCGTCAACAATTGTTCAGTTTTCTGTTTGATACTTTGATAGGAACTACTGGTGATAGATCAATGATATTTGTATAAAGTTGCATTACTGTCAGTACATATCAGTTTGACAACTATTTTGAGGCCCTGTCCCCTAGGTCATGGTCCAGCAACTTTGAATTAATTAGCAATGCTGCTGTCCAACAGATTGTCTTTTTATGCCCCACCTACGATAGTAGTAGGTGCAATTTTAATGCCAAATTAGAGTTTTGACCCCAATTTCACGGTCCACTGAACATAGAAAATGATAGTGCAAGTGGGTCATCCGTGTACTTTGGACACATTCTTGTTTTTAATTTTAAGTGGACATGTGAGACATATTTCTGTGTCAACAGTTTATCTGTAATTTTTTCCTCTGATTAAGAAGATTTTTGAGGTTTAGACAATCTATTGGCTAGACTATTTTTAAAATGTCCAGATCTTGAGCAACTGAATTCACAGAGGAATGATATTTTTCAAATGTTGAGGTCTTAATCAATAATAAAGGTAATTAAAAACTTATTGAGCATGACCTATATCTAACTTACGATTGATTCCAGCTATCAAAAGTTAGGGCATGATTCACAGGATTAGCTGTCAGATTAAATGTCGTGATTTCTTTATAAATCTTCAGAAATCCACCCATTGCTGAATGTTAAGAAACCAACAGACAAAAACCAGCAGAAGAAAGTGAGTCGAACAAACAAAGGAAAACCATCAAAGTCAGAGAAATCAAAACACAAATACAGATCAGATGAGGTAAATTTCCATTGGATACTTATTGTGTCACCTGACAGTGTCAAGTTGGGGGCTACACATAGGGACAACATCTGTCAGCGTAGTCATCCTTGTCATACTTTGTTACTCCACAACTCCTTGGAAACAGCTTGATTTTGAGGTTTTCCATACCCAAACATGGACTTGGCCATTACTGCTTAAATTAGTTTGTTTACCTGCAAACCTTAAAAACTGGTTGGCAGAATTCACCCAAACTTGCACAGATTCTTCAACAGGACATTAAGTTGTATACCTGTTATTTTAATTTTTGATCAAAGTGATTTCTGAGTTACGATACCAAAGCATAAACTTAGCTCTTTCTGCTTATATCTGTTTCTTTCATATTGGATGACATCCATTTTAATACCAAAGCTTCAGTCAGTATATACATAAAACAGGAAATGTGTGGTAAATTAATTGCAAATAAAATTTCCATTCTGAACCAAATTTAGCAGGAAACAATATCAAAATACTTTGAAAAGTTAGAAAGACCTTGGATAGAAAACTTTTATCAAAGTTTCTTGGCTTCTATGTTTGCCAATAATTTTAAATTTTGCAACACTCATTGGTCTGCAGCTTGATAATGTTGAGTTGCAGCATGCTAGCAATTCTTACATCTGCCTTGCAGCTACTTCCTGTTTGCAAATGATTTGAAATTTTAAACATTCATTGTACATGAAAAATTTTCAACAAAGTTTTCTTGGTTTCAATGATTTTAGGGAATGGTCAGTTATGCTCCTCACGAGACAGTTTGTTACTCTGACAATCCCTCAAGGCACAAGTTCCACAATGAAAGATAATGTGTTTCTAACTTCCTTATGTAAAATTTATCCCCCTTGCCATTGTTCTATTCATTTTACTAGTACATTACTGAGTAAAGGTTTTGTATGAGTCTTGAACTGCGTAATACTGAAAGTATGCACTATTATACAAAGCTGTGATATTGCAAAAAGATACATTTACCGCTGACAATGAATCTTTAACAAAAGTGCACTTTAATGGTATACATTGATATTGTCTTTTTGTTTTGAGAAATTTCCACAGTTTTTGTTTGTCTATGCATATTATACACTTTTGAAGTATCAAATTTGATTTCACACAATTCAATTAAAATTTCCTATAATGTATGACATATTTACACAATTTATAATGATAAATGTTTTTTTTAGATATGAATGGGCAGTGCTTGTAGCGTGATGCTGGAAAACTTTCTTTGTCATTTGACAAAATGTTAGTGAGTGATGCAGTTCCAAGACAAATACTTGTATCAGCTAGATATGATCAGATATAAAATAAGACTACTGGACGTTTTATGGGCATAGATAACAAGTAGATCATCCCCATATTTATTATGTAAATAAATATAATGAAAAACTGTGACAATGAGTTCATTATTTTGTTTTTTATGCCCCACCTAATAGAGGGGCATTATGTTTTTCGGTCTGTGCGTCCGTTCGTTTGTCCGTCCGTCTGTCCTGTTTCAAGTTAAAGTTTTTGGTTAAGGTAGTTTTTGATAAAGTTGAAGTCCAATCAACTTGAAACTTAGTACACATGTTCCGTATGATATGATGATCATTTCTAATTTTAATGCCAAATTAGAGTTTTTACCCCAATTTCACGGTCCGCTGAACATAGAAAATGATAGTGCGAGTGGGGCATCCGTGTACTATGGGCACATTGTTGATTTTAAAGAGCTAAATTATGTAAGAATATGATGTTGTATGATCAATTTGACAGCTAAATATAAAAGTAAAAATTAAAATTAAATGTTACTTTACTGTCTTCTACTATGACCAGGATTTCTGCTGGCTGTCCATCTTGTTTATTTTTTAGCTCACCTGGCTTATCTCATCGCTTGGCGTCCATCGTCCGTTGTCCGTCGTTAACTTTTACAAAAATCTTCTCCTCTGAAACTACTGGGCCAAATTTAACCAAACTTTGCCACAATCATCATTAGGGTAACTAGTTTAAAAAATATGTTCGATGACCCCGTCTTCCGACCAACATGGCCGACATGGTTAAAAATAGAACATAGGGGTAAAATGCAGATTTTGGCTGATATCTCTGAAACTAAAGCATTTAGAGCAAATCTTACATGGGTAAAATTGTTCATCAGGTTAAGATCTATCTGCCCTGTAATTTTTAGACGGATCAGACAACCCATTGTTGGGTTGCTACCCCTGAATTGGTAATTTTAAGGAAATTTTGCAGTTTTTGGTTATTATCTTGAATATTATTAGAGATAGAGATAAACTGTAATCAGCAATAATGTTCAGCAAAGTAAGATCTACAAATAAGTCAACATGACAAAAATTGTTAATTGACCTCTTAAGGAGTTATTGCCCTTTATCGTCAATCTTTTTTACTATTTTTCGTAAATTTTGGTAATCTTTTACAAAAATCTTCGCCTCTGAAACTACTGAGACAAATTTAACCAAACATGGCCACAATCATCATTATGTTGAGTAGTTTAAAAAATGTGTCCGATGACCCTGCCTGCCAACCAACATGGCCGACATGGATAAAAATAGAACATAGTTGTAAAAAGCAGTTTTTGGCTTATATCTCTGAAACTAAAGCATTTAGATCAAATCTGACATTGGGTAAAAATGTTCATCAGGTTAAGATCTATCTGCTCTGAAATTTTCAAACAAAAAAATTGAATTTGTAATTTTAAGGAAATTTTGCAGTTTTTGGTTATTATCTTAAATATTATTATAGATAGAGATAAACTGTAAACAGCAAAAATGTTCAGCAACGTACGATCTACAAATAAGTCAATATGACCAAAATTTGCAATTGACTCCTTAAGGAGTTATTGCCCCTTATAGTCAATTTATAACAAGTTTTCTTAAATTTTTGTAATCTTTTACAAAAATCTTCTCTACTTAATCTACTAGGCCAAATAGAATTAAACTTAGCCACAATTTTCAATAGGGTATCTTGATTGAAAAATGTATCCGATGACCCTGCCATCCAACCAACATGGCCGCCATGACTAAAAATAGAACATAAGGGTTTACTATAGAAGTCTATGGGAAAATTGTAAAAAAACAATTTCAAATAGTCACAACTTGAAAACTAATTTAAATAATGATAAGGGGTCTTCAGTAACTATTGTAAGACTACAATGGGATGACTTGCTTTTAATTTAACTACTGGGTCAAATTAAACCAAACTTGGCCTCAATCATTATTAGGGTATTTAATACTATTTATTATAATTTTAACCTTATTTTACATGATTTCCTAAACCACAGTAGATACACGGGCTAGCGACACA